GATTTAAGCAACATTGTTAAAAAAGTAAAAGGAGAGCAGCAGGTGGAGTACATTACATATGCCCGGAGAGGTGAGCATACCGAGAACAGTGGCGTTTTCAGGGTGTGAATGATCCTCAGGTTTAGGGTAGGATGAATCAGGTCTGAACATGAGTCAATAGATTTGTCAGGTATAAGCAGAACAAATTTTTTTTTGTTACTGGGGATTGAACTCAGTAACCTTGAGCTTTCAAGGCAGGCGGCAGCACCGCTGCGCTAAATCCCTGGCCCAAGCAGAGCAGATTTTTGTGATGGCAAGGAAGTGGAAGTCAGATTGTAGAGTGGGCTGGGGAACAGGTGGGACGTTAGGAGGAGGGCTTGTAAACGGCTGTTGGGAAAAATTAAACTAGAGAGGAAGAGAGGGTAGTTTGAAGAGTTGACTGGACTGCAAAGAAGGTAGACTGTTGCTTTTTTCCCTTCTTCAGTTCAAAACTTAGGAAATTTCCACGGTAAATTACATGTTTTTCAAGGATTTCCTTGATTCATGAGCGGAAATAATTTTTTATTTGGTCACAGGAAATTGTTTTGCTTGTGGAATTGATTTAAAAAACAATATTCTTCCTCAGAGGTGGAATTTATCTGTAAAATCATAATATTACATAATATTACAACTTTCAGTCTTCAGTTACTGGAAGACTGAGCTTTATTTTTCATAATCCCTGTGCTAGCTTTGTGCTTATTATGCACAAATGCAGAGATTAAGGAGTTGGTAGTCACAGAAAGAAAAAAAAGTTTATTGAATGCTAATGATGTGGTGAGTACTGTGCCTTACATATGCTTTCTGGTTTAATCCTCCCAGCAGAATTGTGAGGGTCGATACCACCATTTTATAGTGGGGAAATTGAAGCCTTAATGATGAAGGCTAAACGCGTCATTGCAGAGTCAGGACTTCGTACAGGTCTGTCTGATGCCAGTTTGTATCCCTAAGTGACACTGTTTTGTCCCTCCCTCTTTCACACTTCTGATGCTGTGGCTTCAAATGGATGTTTACTGTATATTTGATTATATGGGGAGACTCACTTGCAGGCCCAGATTTATAACTCCTTGCACTATTGGCTGATCATGTTGACATAGTTATTTGATAGTTTTTTTTCTTGATATTTATGACTCTTATTTTCATTTATGAAACAAAAACCTTACTAGGGTCTGTGTAAGAATATTTTTCATGTTGGTCAAAAATTCAATGAAGGAGCCGGGAATTTAGCTTAGTGGTTCCGCTGCTGTCTGCCTCGCAAGCGCAAGGTCCCGAGATCAATCCCTGGTACCAAAAAAAAAAATTCACTAAAGTATTTTGCTACTTTGGAAAGAACAGTCACACATCTGCAGTCAAAAAGTAGTGTGTAACAGAACTCCATTGAAACCCCCGATTTTTGGAAACAGCATCAGTGGCTTTGGAGTAAGATCTTAGTATTGTTGATGCTTTGAAGAGTCAGTGATTCATGAAAAGTTTGTCCTTAGTTTTAGGGGGACGAAAAGACTAATGGAACAAAAGTGATAATACAGTAAGAACCTCTTAAATGATACTATACATGATTTAGCAGCTAGCGTAAGTGTTGAATTTCTTGTAAATGCCAAAATTGCCACTAGGTGGTGGTAGCTGGAATATTACGATTCATTATAAAACAAGGGAAACTAAATAGAATTAGCATACTTGGCAAAAGATAAGAAAGAAAAGATTGATGTTGACAGCCATCATTTGGTGGTGAGGCTGTGAACTCCATCGCTGTTGGCTTGTCTTATGCCAAAGGAGGAGATTTAGTATGAATGGCCTCGTGGTGCTTACCTTTTTAATCTTGGTGAGATTTTTGCTACACAAATCATGGTTTTGACCTAGTACCCTGAGTAATTAGTAGGCAGACATTAAAGAGCTTTGCAGAAATGTTAGACAATGTCACTTGTTTCACTAAATTTTACTTGGTTTTTTAAAATAGTTTTTATAAAAAGTTAACATGATTTGTTTTATTATTTTATTCATAAATATTTAAAAATTGTTCTGATTTGATTGGTTACTGATAGCTGTAATCCACATACAGGAAAGCTCTTTGAGGTACTGGTTACATTTTAAATGTGAAAGAATCCAGAGACAAAAGAATTTTGAGATTTCTGTGTTGGTATATTATGGAAAGTTTGAAAGTAGCGACTACAGTGAGGAGTTTAGCTTGGGAAAGATGATGTATCTGGGACATAAACTAGGGACTCAGCAACATAATGTTTGGAGAATGAACGTGAAATACTGATCTTGTCAGTTGATGGAGTTTGAGAGAGTAGTTTGAGACAATGATGGACTAGAGAGCTATAGTTTTAGAGCTAGATTGTACTAGGTTCAAATTCCAGGTGTTAGTAAATATGTGTGACCTTGGGCAAATTGTTTAAACCTTAAGCCTCAGTTTCCTCATCTGTTAAATGAGATTATCTTCTATCTTGTGTTGCTATGAGAATTAAATTGAGATCCTACAAATGTTACTGCATAGTAGCAGAGACTTGAGTCAGACTTGGGTTAAAATACCGTTTGTACCCCTTCTCTGTGACCTCACGTAAGTTATTCTCTGGTACTTCTTTCTTTATATAAGGAGACTAATGTGTCTGCTTGTAAGAGTGTTGACGGTTAAATGAAATAATGTGTATACAGTGTGTGGCAGGCCTGACAGGTAGTCAGTCCCCATGAAACAGTGTGACCTGTTACGTACCTAGTGCAGTCCATGGCAGGTAGGTGCCCAGCACATCTTTGCCACCGCCCCGTCTGTGTTCGCTCTTATTTTGCCGTAACATGTTACTAAGATGAAGTTTATGATTTTTCCCCTTGCTTCTTAACTGAGGCTATCCTAGAACCAGTAGTTTCAGTTCCCTTGTATACTAAGAAGGCTTTTTTTAATGTCTGGTTTCCATGGATTTTGCCTTCAACAGTAGAAGCCCAGATGTTAATGTTTTATATTCTTGGTAACACGAGCACTGCTTCTGTTGCTTCTTTTGGCACGCTTAGGAAATGGTTTTACTATCACAACTCATCGCCTTAAATTTACATAAACATTCACTGAGGACTTATTTGCCAGGCTCGGGAGATACAAAATATTTAAAATATAAATGCTTAGAGCTTATATTGTAGTAGGTGAGTTAGGCGTATTAAAAAACTAAGATGAAGTTAATGACTACAACACATTTTTTAAAGGTTTAGGAGCTCAGAGCAGGGAACAGTAAACTCCGGTGTTTGAGATGGGGAAGAAGGTTGTAATGACCTTTTTGAAATTAGGTGTCTGAGTTGGCATTGGAAGGATGAGTAGGGCCTTGTCAGTGTCTGTGGCATTTCAGGAAGAAGCTGTAGCATGTACTAGGGCGTGGAGGTTTGTTAGAGGCATGTGGGAATTGGGGGGATCCACGATAAGGCTAGAGAGGCACAAAGGAGACAGAAGATATAAGCATACCTTACTTACTTGATGAGCCTGTGTTTCCTCTGTTTAATTAGCTTAACGTATATAGTTAGCCCTCCATATCTCAGTCAACTGCAGACGGAAAATATTTGAAAATAAATTGCATTTGTACTATTTTCTTGTCCTTCTTCCCTAAGCAATATAGCAGCTATTTATACATTAGGTATTATAAGTCATCTAGCGATGATTTAGAATATATGGGAGGATGTGCATAGGTTATATGCAAATTCAGTGACCTTTTATGGGAGGGACTTCAGTGTCCTCACATTTTGGTGTACGCTGGGAGTTTTGGAACCAGCTGTCCTGGAACCAGTCCTTTGCTGATATCTGACTGTATTTGGGCTGTGTTTTGTCACGTGCAGTGCCAGATTCCAAGGGGAACAAGATGTAGTTTTAGGGCCGTGAAGTCAGTGTATGTTTTAGGAAAATCACTAAGGACAGTATTTTTGTATTTATTTAATTTTTTTTTTGGTACTGGGGATTGAACTCGGGACCTTGTGCTTGTGAGGCAGGGCGCAGAACCACTGAGCTAAATCCCCAGCCCACTAAGGACAGTATTTAGATGGAGGAGAGTAGAAGGAAGAACATAGGACTGAGACTGTTGGAATAAGGTTTTGTTTTTTTTTGGTACCGGGGATCAAACTCAGGTTCTTGTGCTCGCCAGGCAGGCGGCGGAACCACTGAGCCAAATCCCCGCCCCTGGAATAAGGTTATTTTTTGATATATGTAATTTGATTTCCTTTGTTTCCTTTTATTTTTATTGAGTGTAACTCAAATAAAAGCATATTTAAGATGTACAGCATGATTTGAGATACATATGTGTTGTGAAGTAATTGCTACAAGTTAATATTCACTTCACATATAGCACTTAATTCGCATCGCATAGAAGAGTTTTATAATAGCACAAGTCAAAAATACTGTACTCTTAAACAGAAAAATGTGGGGCCTGGGATTTAGCTCAGTGGTCCCACTGCCTACCTCGCAAGTGCGAGGTCCCAAGTTTGATCCCTGGTACCAAAAAAAAAAAAGTTACACAGAAAAATGTGTTCAGCTTGTTACTTCCAGAGACAGTTGAATGAACATTCTAGACCTTTTCTGGATGTCTCTACGTTAATGCACTTTCTCTTCCATTTTAAAACATTGTCATTTTCCTACTTCTCATTCCACCAAAAGCACGACTTGGAGCTCATTTCTGCTAATTTACAGAGTCTGCCCAAAAAATGTATACACGCTTCAGGAAAAGAAAAATAGTATGATGGTTTTTCAACAGATGGTGTTACCCTCGTGTGGGGGACCCTAGAGGATGTCATATATCGCAGAAAACCCACTACACTGCCGACCCTCAGAGAAGAAAATGAAAATTCATGCGCAACAATCTCAGTGACCAAGGTTGCCCAAGCAGCAGTTCGCTCAATGAATGAATGTCTGGAAGCTCATGGCCACCACTTTGAGTACCTCTTGTCACTGTAGAGGCCAAAGGTAACTTGTATTAATCTCATGATGTTCAGTAAATTTAGTATTAAAACATGTATACAAGTTTATCTTTTCCTGAAGTGTGTCTGCATTTTTTTGACAGACTCTTTTTAAAATGTGTAGTCTTTATGGAGCTCTTTTCTCACAGTAAGGAATGAAAACAGCGGGCCGAGATAAATTTGGCTTGGAATTATGAGAAACGTGAGTTACACTGTATTTTAGTCTACATATCAAAGCTGTAGATTTCAAAATAGTTTTGTAGGACATTGAACAAAGCTCTTGTTTTAACTAAACTTGCTTTGTGGATAGTGTTCATGGTTGTAGTGTTGGGGAGAACTGTGTGAGGAGTTTATGATCCACCGTGGGGGCTGCAGTGGGGAAGAGAGGGGTCCTAAGTAGCTTAGCCTTGAAGTATGGATGAGATTTCAGTGTACGAATAGTGTAACTCATGGTTTGGAGATAGGGAATGTGGTGCATGTCTGAAGGATAGCAGTTTGCCAGTGGCATCGACAGTTACAGAGACAGACTGTGCACCGTGGCACACATCTGTGAACCCAGCACTCTGGGAGGCTGAGGCAGGCGCTTCCCAAGTTTGAGCCCAGTTTGGGCAACTTAGCAATTTTAGCAAGACCCTGTTGCAGTAGTGTAAGATATATAAAAAGGGCAGAGAATGTAACTCGGTGTGTACTGGGTGGGAGGAGAAAGAAGGAAAAGTTAGAAGTGGGACAAAAGTTTGGAAAAATAGGGCATTTTGAAATCTAAACTGTGGAGCCTGAATTTGTTTTCTTGGTGGTAGAGATCTTAAAAGGGAGTAGAAGGGATGACAGAATCATTGTTTTAAAGCTACGCGGGACCAGAAATCAGCAGGAGAGTTTTGAAGAGGAGGTGTGGGGGGATTTTAGATCATCTGTGTTTGGTTTGCTCACTGACTTTGCCTAAAGGAAAAGTAAACTTTCTCTTACCCTCATGACAAGAGGTAGTTTCACAGCTCCGAGCAAAATGCTCACTGAAGTTCAGCTCCTACCCCCCCCCCCCAAGATGGGAAAGAGAGGAACCATCTTGCTTGATGATTATATTTCAAAAAGATGGCTCCTGGGTCCTTAAACTTTGCAGTTGTAGTCAAAAGTCTACAAAGGATGGCTCTTTTTACTGAGGTTTGCTGTTAATTAGAACTCAACTTCAGGAAGGATGGTATATCTAAATTGTAATTCTAAAATTATAGTTACCAATTAGAAATCAGAGTGGTGGCATACTAAGACTGTTTCAGTCCATTATAATTGTAATTTGTTTTGCTCAGATTATCACAGCTTTGGTCAGTGAAGAGGACCCTCTCCAGTGCTTCCTGTGTCTGCTGACATGATGACCCCATTAAACTTGGCTTTCTGGGCCTGAAAGGTGTCCCATTCTCGCTCTTGGTCTTGTGCTTGTTCACTCTTGCTTCTGTCTCTGTCTCTGTCTCTGTCTGTGTGTGTGTCTGCAGTAATGGGGTTTGCACACACAGCCTTCACACGGAGTCACACACATACACGCTGGCTGCCCTTGTCGTGCTGGAGATTCAGCCCAAGGCCTTCACACTGATTTGTGCCTCCAGGCCTGCCTGCCTTTATTTTATTTTTATTTTTTTGAGACAGGATGTCGCTAAGTTGCCAGCTTCGGGCTTGGCTCCAACTTGAGGTCCTCCTACCTCAACCTCCCAGAGTGCTGGGATTCAGGCTCGCTTTATACATTTCCTGCCCCACATTTAAAGTCGGTTACTGTACAGAGAACTTTGCTTCAGTGAACTTTATTTTCTTGGTACAGTGGGCCTCCACAGCCCTTGTTCATGATTTCTCTTTCTGAGGTTTCAGTTATCCTTGATCGGTTGTGGTTCAAAATAATAAAGGAAATTTTCAGAAATAAACCCTTCATATGTTTTAAGTTGTACACTGTCCTGGGTAATGTGTGGTGAAGTCTTGTGCCATTCTATGCTCAGGAAGTGAATTCAGTATCTCTCTCCTCTGTATACACTACCCACCCATCAGTCAGTAGCTCTCTGGGATATCAGATCGGCTGTCATCATATCACAGAGGTAGTGTTCAACTAAACACTTAGTTGCCTAACATCCTCAGAATGTGAGAGTACTAATGCTGTTGATTTGTTTTTTATTTTTTTGGTACCTGGGATCAAACTCGGGTCCTTGCACTTTTGAGGCAGGTGATGAAACCACTGAGCTAAATCTGCGGCCCCTGTGCTGTTGATTTGGATGGTGCCGGAGAGAGGTTATAAAGTGCTTCATTTCAGTGAAAAGTGGAAGTTATTAACTTAATTAGAGAAGAAGACAATTGATTAGTTGGTAAGGTCTACTGTAAAAGTGAGTCTTCTATATAGTACTTGAAATTGTGAAAAAGGAATTGTGAAGGAAAAAGAAATTTATGCTGTCAAACTGCAAAAGTTATAGCCGCAGTGTGTGTGTTGAGTGCTCAGTTAAGATGTAAAAGGAACTCTGAAAAAGATCGAAGAGGGTATAAGAAAATGGAAAGACATCCCTTGCTCCTGGCTAGGAAGAACCAATATAGTGAAAATGACCATACTTCCAAAACTACTGTATAGATTTAATGCAATGCTGATTGAAATTCCAACAATATAATTCACAGAACTAGAGAAAACAATCCAAAAATTCATTTGGAACCAGAAGAGACCTAGAATAGCAAAAGTAATTCTGAGCAGCAGAGACATGGCTGGGGGTATCACAATCTCCAACTTGAAACTATACTACAAAGCTACTGTGATAAATACAGCATGGTAGTGGCAAAAGAACAGACCCGAGGATCAGTGGAATAGATTAGAAGATGCAGAAACAACTCCAGACATACTCAGCCACCTCATCTTTGACAAAGGAGCCAACCACCCTCATTGGAGGAAAGATAGCCTATTTATTTATTTATTTGTTTGTTTGTTTGTTTATTTATTTATTTGTACTGGGGATCAAACTTGGGACCTTGCGCTTGCAGGGCAGGCACTAGAACCACTGAGCTAAATCCCTGGCCCCAAGATAGCCTATTTAATAAATGGTGTTGGAAAAATTGGATTTCAACCTGCCAGAGATTAAAACTAGACCCATACCTATCACCGTGCACTAAACTAAGATCAAAGTGGATTAAAGATCTAAATATTAAGACAGAAACACTAAACTTGCTGGAAGATAAATTAGGTAGAACTCTTGAAGACATTGGCATAGGAAAAGACTTTATGAACAAAACCTCAGTAGGACGGGAACTAGCACAAAGAATCAACAACTGGGACCTCATTAAAAAGCTGCTGTGAAAAAAAAAAAAAAAAAGCTTCTGTGGGGCCAGGGATTTAGCTCAGTGGTTTTGCCGCCTGCTGTGCAAGCACAAGGACCCGTGTTTGATCCCTGGTACTAAAAAAAAAAAAAAAAGCTGCACTGCAAGAGAAACTACCAACAAAGCTAAGAGACAACCTACAATGTGGGAAAAAATGTTTAGCGGCTGTATCTCAGACAAGGGGTTACTATCTAGAATATATAAAGAACTGAAAAAAATCAGACCCCCCAAACTCAAAGACCCAGTTCAAAAATGGGCATCTGAAATGAACAGACATTTCTCAGACAAAGAAGTAAAAACAGCAAATAAATAAAGGAAAACATGTTCACCATCACTGGTCATTCAAGAGATGCAGATGAAAACAACACTGAGATTCCATCTCACCCCAGAAAGAATGGCTGCTATGAAGAAATCAACCAATAACAAATGCTGGCGGGGGGCCGGGGAGAAAGGAACCCTTCTCCATTGCTGGTGGGAGTGCAGACTGGTGCAACCACTGTGGAAATCCGTATGGAGATACCTCAAAGAACTAGGACTAGAGGTCCCATTTGACCCAGCTATTCCCCTACTGGGTGTCTTCCCCCAAAGAATTAAAAGAGTCATACCACAGTGATATATGTGCACCCATGTTTATAGCAGTACAGTTTATAATAGCTAATACTTGGAAACAGCCCAGGTGCCCATCAAATGGAGACTGGATAAAGAACATGTGGGGTTTTTTTAATAAAATGGAGTACTAAGCCATAAAGAGCGAGTACCTGGAGTCATTTATAGCTAAATGGATGCATGATGAGGCCATCCTCTTAAGTGAAATAAGACACACGTGTAAATACCGAATAGTTTCTCTAGTGTGAGAAACTGGAAGTGTAAATAAGGGTTAAACTGATTAAAACGAATAATTGATCATTTGAAATAGGAAGAAAAGGTCCAGAGGGGTAGGGGAAGTGGGAAGGGAAGGGGAAAGGGAAGAAGGGCAACGAAATATTATGAGAAAAGAAAAAAATGGGAACAGTCTATGTAAATAGGGAAGGGTGGAGGGGGTGAAGGGTGCACAGGGAATGGGGGAAAAAACAAGAACCAAGATTCATCATGTACAGGTACAAGCACCTGATGATAAATGTAAATGTATTGTATACCTAAAATGTACCAATAAAAGAATTTAAGCAAAAAAAAAAAAAGATGTAAAAGGAGTTAAATTATAGGGTTTGTTAGTAGCCACGATTTCAGGTGTACACCAAAGGCTTTGGAATGTATTGCCTCACTGATTAAAGGGGGGACTTCTGTATTAAAGTGCTATTGCCCCAGAGGTAACACTGCTTTCTGGAACACTTCAGTGAACAGTCAGAACTAAGTTAAAAATCATGAGTTTCTATTGATACTTTCAAATCAGTTTAGTATTGTTTTCGTTTAATTTCTTTGATTAATAAAAGTTATCTTACCCAGTGTTCTTGGTTCCTAACACTGAACGTAAGCACTCACTTGCTTAATCTTACAGTTTGAAATAAATAGTTCAGTGTGATACCCGTAGCCTACTTTATCATCCTTTTCACAGCTGCCTGGGTGTATGATAACTTATTTAACCAGATGTTCTTTTTTATTTTGTTTTGTTCTGTTTTTTTGAGATAGGGTCTTGGTTTGTAATTCAGCCTGGCCCTGAACTCACTATGTAGCCCAGGCTAGCCTCGAACTCACAGCAATCCTCCTGCCTTTGCTTCCCGAGTGCTGGGATTACAGGTGTGTGCCACCATGCCTGGCTTAACCATATATATATATATTTTGGTTCCGGGATCAAACTTGGGACCTTGTGCTTGTGAGGCGGGTGGCGGAACCACTGAGCTAAATCCCCAGCCCGTAACCATATATTTTTACTGGGAGTCATTTAGGTGGTTCACGTTTTTTTTTTTTTTTTGTCCCAAACAATGATTTTGTAGTAAGCACTTATTTAGAAAAAGTACATGAGTTGTATGTTTGCTTAATAATTGTCTGGAAAAACTTTCATCTGTCCACACACATGACCAGGTGCTTGAGTATAGAATACTTTTGAGGTAAGATTTATATAAAATGATAAATATTGTCAACCTAAAATTAACAATAGAGAGACCTCTCCAAACCAAAGGCAGCTGGTGTCTGGGGCATGCGTATGTAAGGCTTTGGGGAAGCTTTTAATGAAAAGTCCACTCCGTTGTCTTGAGGACCATTGGTTATGGGGCTTGTTGCAGTAGTTGGTGATAGCTTATTAGTGGAGGGCACTCTGGTGTGTAAGCAGTTTACCTGGAGTACAGTAGTCTCCCTTCAAATGTATGTTCTGGGACTCCCCCCAGTGAATGCCTGAAACTTGAGGTAGTACCAAGTTCTCTATATACTGGTTTTCCCTATACAGTACATACATATCTGTGATGAAGTGTAATTTTTAAGGTAAGCATAGTATATTAATAACAAACTGCAAAACTAGAATTCATTTTTCCTTATTGAGAACTTTTCACTTAAAGGATTCACTTTATTACATTTCTTGGTGTATCTAAATTCCCATCATTACCATTCTTGCTCTCTGGGGACTTTATTAAGTAAAATAAAGATTTCTTGACCACAAGCACTGTGATACCACAACAGTCCAGTCTGATATCTCAGGTGGTTTCTGAGTGTCCAATGGGGAGGTAGTGCATACAGGCATGGATATGCTGGTTATAGATGTGACTCAGGTCATGGGCCGAGCAAGATTTGATCACACTACTCAGAACATGCAGTTTAAAATCTATGAATTGTTACTTTGATTCCATTTAATATTATATTGTTTGTTTCATTTTGCATAATTATCTTATTTTGTTTATTATTCCAGTTAATTTCAGGCCACGGTTGGAGGATAACTGAAACTGGATAAGTGAGTACAGTAACACTGTACTGTGGTTTTGAGGAATTTCTTATGTAGTTTCTGTCAGAGACATATGAGTTAAGTGTTGACCCCTGTTTCATGGCCTTCTGCCTCCATTTTGTTAGGGGACATTAGTGACTCCATTTTGATAACTTTCACGGACTAGACTTTAATCCAAAATTTGAGTTTTGACCAGTATATAAAGCCTTATAAACCATACCCCAATTAAGATATCCAGTATCTAGATACAACCATGATTGTAATTTTTATCACTGTAAATTCACGCAAATGGAATCTCCTTGAGGTCTCTGATTCAGTTAATGTTTGAGATTTACCCATATTTTTGTGTGTATCAACAGTTCTTTTTTGGGGGGGGCATCAAACTGTGGACCTTGCACCTAACAATTCATTTTTTTTTTAATTGACTAGTAGTTATTTGTGAGGCTATATTAACATTTGATTCTCCATTTCACTATTGATGAACATTTCAGTTGCTTTCAGTTTTGGGCAACTTTGAGTGAAGTTGTGAGCATTTATATATGTATGTTCTTGTGGACATAAGTTTTTTATTTCATTTGGATTAATACCTAAAGGTAAATATACTGAATTATAGAGTAATTGTCATCTTGGATGTTAGTAATTTCTTTGTTTTACCTTTTTTGTGTTTTTTACTGTAAAAACATTTTATTTGTATTTTGAATATTCCTGGGAACATATTTACGTATACTTTTGTTACTTGGTTTAAGTCCCAACATTGTTTTAGAAAATTTAGTATTCAGGTACTTTTTTCCATTAGGTCTAGTCTCTCCCGTTTTATCTCAGTGTGTCTTGTCCATGCATCTTTATTTGCAGTTACTGTATTTAGTGTAGTGCACTCAAAGTTTTCTAAGCATAAGAAGCATTTGTTGCGGCATTTCAGTGTTATCTTAGTTCTGTTGCCCTTACACAACATTTTATATTTCCTAGTTTATTACTGGTATAGTCATGTCTTTCAGAAGGGGCACTTACTTCAACAAAGTGGCCTCTAGACAGTACTAACCAAACTGTTCTTTACCGTACACCTTTTTGTATTGGGTGATTTCTCTCAGGGTAAAAAACTGTCAATTACTGTATTTCTATACAGAAGAAATTTGCATATGAAGAAATAACTTTTAATCAGTATATAACAAGCCATGTTTTGGATGTGCTGTTATGTCTTGTGCATGTGAATAATCTTAAACCATTTATAGGCTTACCTCATACAGCTAATGAGGATTTCTTTGACTAACTGGTCAAAACCTGTTTCTATCTTTGAAACACAGTTCCACTTTCCACCAGCAGGGAGACAGTAAGCGTAATCTTAGCACCTTTAACCTGTAATCAGACACCCATAAAGCTTGACTGCTGCTTCCAGCCTCTGGAGGATTGCTCAAATCTTTTGGGCTTCGGTTTTCTGTTGGTATGATGGAGATAATTTCAGCTCTGCAGGAAGAACCAGTAAAACACTAGGACTGCACAGAAATGGAAGAGAAACAATATCTTAGAAACTAAATGAAATACGTATTTGTGGGATGGAGTGATCAGCTACATCAGCAGTTAATCATAAACAATGAAGAAAGGGTCCAGGAAATGGTAGTATTATATAAGAATGTGAAGGCGGTGGGTTTCTTTGAAATTTTTTGGTAGAATGTTAACATTTACTAAGTTGAATGGGTTTAGCTGGGAGAAGGCAGAACATACACAAGCCTTCTTGCTGGAGATGGAAATGAGCTTAGGCCTTTTTTCTTTTTTTTTTTTAAATAGAGGAAGTAATGCCATATATATGTGTACTGAAGATCAAGATCCAGCAGACAGGGATGAGATGATGAAAGGAGAAAATTGCCAGAGTACTGTCCTTGAAGAGGCAGGATGAGGGGATGGGTTTAAGTGCCTAGGTAGACTCATCGCTAAGATTGCAGGCAGTTTGTTCACGGTAACCGAAAGTATAGACGGGTGTAAGAGGGAGTGTATAGAAGATTCTTCTGACTTTTCCTTTTTCGGTGAGAAAACGCAAGTGAGGCCATCAGCTGAGAAGGAAGCTAGAGGCGTAAAAGCTACCCATAGTCTAACAGGTTTAAAGAGACAACCAACCCGCTAGGAGTGCAGAACACACTTGGAACTTCCAGTCTGATTTCTGGGCAGCATTTTTGGTGCTTGCTCACTAGCTTATTTTTTCACAAGGTCATGAGTTTTACCCTAGTTATATTTAGCTGTGTAGGTATATATGGAGTAGGTAAAGAATTTGTTAAACAAAGGTTATGGTTTACCCAAAAGAATATGATGAAGTGAGACAAGGATGAGGGATTTCAGTAATATGAACAGGTGTGATATTTAAAAATAAGCAAAATGGGGCCGGGGACTTAGCTCTGTGGTTCCGCCGCCTGCCTCATAAGCACAAGGTCCAGAGTTCGATCCCTGGTACCCCCCAAAAAAAAGCCAAATGAACAAATGTGTCTTTAGTATTAGCTAATACTTAGTTCATCCTCAAATTTCTCTGATTTTCAAAAATGTCTTTTTGCACTTTATTTGTTCAAATTCATATTAATTTGATTGCTGTGCCTGTTAAATAATTTATTGTCTGTTCCTCTCATCCCACTTTTTTATGCCATTCATTTGAAGAAATTGGGTCTTTAACCACATAGCGCTGTCTGTATTTTTCATCTTGCTAGCTGTGAAAATGTTTTAAAGTTTTACATTGTAAAATACATTTAAAATTACCGTCATAACCAAGCATACAGTTCTGTAGTATGAAGTTTTAAATGTATTCATGTTATTTTAAATGTGTTCCTCTATTTCCTTTTCTGTAGACTGGTGCCAGATCTAGAGAGGCTCTATTGCTTCAGGTTCGTTGTTTCTGTTTTAGTGAAGAAGGGGCAAGGGCCCTACTGCCTGTTAGTGTTATGTGCTTGCTGTCACCTCATCAAGGAGGCACAGAATGGCTGCCTGTCTGGATGAGATTGATCGATGCCTTCAGGTCTTGCAGTTGTTTAATTTTTCCGTGGTTTCCTCTACTGCCCCTAGTGGTTTTATTAACTATTAATGATCATTGCCTGCATTCATTATTTCATAAGTGGTTATAAAATAATGATTTTTTCTAATTATGTAACTTTGCATTTATTAGCTGGAGTTCTATGAAGAACATTCACTCATCTTGTTTCTGCCAGAAATGCATGGTCAATCCTTCTTTTGTTTTCCAGTATTCGGGTGACTTGGTTTTATTTTAGTTAAAAGTTTGAATTCAGGCCAGGCATGGTGGTGCACGCGTACAGTCTCAGTGCTCTAGAAGGAAGAGCACGAGTTTGAGCTCAGCCTGGTCAACTTAGACCCAGTCTCAAATTTTAAAAAACTAAAAAGGACTGCAGATGTGGCTCAGTATGAAGGATTTGGATTCATTCCCCAGTGGTGCAAAAAAGAAAAAAGTATTCATGCAGTTAATGACTCAGTTTGTAGTCGGTACTGTGGTGCTTAGACTGTCGTGCTTAGCCAGTGGAACCCTGCCTACCCAAGGGCTTGTCTTCTCAACAGCTACCACTCCCTTGGTGGCTTCAGGCTTGTTTATATCTGTCTTATCCCTGACCCGAAATCGAAATCATCAGTTTCTCCAAGGAGTTCATAGTGCCTTGTAATGGGAAATGGTATTTATAGATCATAATATGGGTGTCTCCTTTTTTTTTCCTTGGTACTGGGGATCGAACTCAGGACCTTGCACTTGCGAAGCAGGTGGTGGAACCACTGAGCTAAATCCCCTCCCCCTGGGTGTCTACTTTTAAAAGGTTTTGTTAGTTTTATATATTTGATTCTTCACAATTCTAATTAGTTTCTTTTTTTCATTCAATAGGTATGCCCAAAGAAAAATACGAGCCCCCTGACCCTCGGAGGATGTACACAATTATGTCCTCTGAGGAAGCAGCAAATGGAAAGAAGTCACATTGGGCAGAGCTTGAAATAAGTGGTAAGACATGGAAGCATGAATTTATGGTATAGAAATAAAGATATGGTAGAAAATTAAGTTTTCTAAAGCCAGTAGTGATTGTAATTTACAAATGCCAATTTGTCTTAGAAGCAGAAAGATTCATTGGAAAGAACATGGTTTGAGTCAAAGTTCAAAACCCACTGTTGTTTATTGTCTCATTTTCAGAGTCCCTTTATAAAATAGGGATAATAATATAAAAAATGAAAATGGGACATATGAAATGCCTAGTGCCCAGAAGTTTGTTCTGGTAGTTAATTCTCTGATAAAGTAGGATTAAGCTTTTGCATTTTCAAATAATACATTTCTAATAGGATGAAATAGCTATCCTATATAGGTTTGGGGTTAGCTCTATTTTTCTGTATTTATTTACTTTTCATTCTGAGTCTCTGAGGACAGCTTTATTCAGAAACAAAATCTTTTGGGGGGGTGTTGGTACTGGGGATCGAACTCGGGTCCTTGCGCTTGCAAGGCAGGTGGCGGAAGCACTGAGATAAATCCCCAGCTGGAAACAAAAATCTTAGAAGAGCTGAAGCAGATCTTAAAGTTACCTTTTATCTTAATGCACCCTAGATGTATTCAACCAAATTTGGTTTCAAACATTTTTGGTAAATTGCAATTCTGTAGTTACAGATTTTGGATTACATCTCTTTTGTTTATAGGGAAGTTTACCCTATTTCACAGCATGAGGATAATCTATAATGTGCTTAGTGACCTAAGGATCATGGAGATTATATCTCCGAGGCTAAAGGGATTCTCTACTCTTTCCTCTCTACTTTATGCTGGGAACTTGATGGCAATTTTGAATCACTGTTCTCTCCCTGCTCTGAAGTTGGGGGAAAGTTCTGTGTACAAGACAGGAAAGAAAAGGGGAGAGTTCTGTAAAGTAACATTCTTAACAGTCATACCTTTACCAACTCTCCTAATGGAGGATAAACTGTTCAGTGAATGAGTCTTGTAACTAACAGTTACTGATAGTCACTTTATTGTTTTATTCAGTTCTTAACACATACACTGTATGTGGAGAAATAGTTTAGGGTTCCTGCTGAGTCAGCTATTTCAGGTGGTTCATTTAGCATCAGTTTCCTAAGATCCTGTACTGAAAGATTCTAGGGATCTGAGGTTATTGAACCCTGGGTCCACAATTAGTTCTAGTGGGAATGGGTGGTGAGTTCTTGTGCCGTTTGGAAATAACCAGATGAGCTGGATGGCTGTCTACTAATCATTGACTTTTTAAAGGCTTTGTTATGAAAAATAAATAGGTAACACTATGCAAACAATATACTAATGAACTGTTACAAGGCCTTTTAACCCTTGCCCTGGTCAAGCATTTTTTGCTTTGCCCAGAACCCTCTCCATATGCCACAGCTGATCACAACATCCATGCTACTCTCAGGAGTAGCCATTGTCCTGACTTACAGTAATCACTTCCTTGTAGTGTTACTAGCAAACTAAGCGTTACAGTTTAGCCCTACCCTACTCCTTTTTTTTTTCAATCTAGCATGTCTCTTTTTCCAGGTTTTCCCCTCCATCTTTTTCTTGCCCTTGCAAAATACCCGGTGAAGAACCTGAGCAGTTTGACCTGTTGTTTCTCTGCAGTGTGTATTTGGCAGATTACATATTCTTTTTGTAATTCAACATTTCCTGCAGATGGGCAGCTGGATCCAGAGGCTTGATCAGACCCAGAGATAAAATCTTTTGACAGGACTTGGGCTGATATTTTACAGGTGATATCCTATAGGTGGTACTGTGCTTTTTCTTCTGGAGTCACACTGGGTCTGAATGCTCTCTGTTTACTGCTTTTTGTTACCAGAACCATTAAGTCTTTGAAGGTTGCAAAATAGTGCTAATTCTACCAATGTATTAGCTGAGATATGTATGTACTTTCTCTCATTTACTATTTGATTACCTAATTTCTATAGAAAAGATAAGGAAAGAATGTTTGCGTTTTTCCTTTCATTTACCAGTTTTCAAGGCAAACTACCATCCTTTGAGGGTAACCAATTAGTTTTTTTAAATAATTAGTATTGGAACCAGAGCTGAGTTCTTAGGTCCAGAAACAGAAGACACAAGACTGAACCTACAGGAATACAAACGCAGGAAGGCTTTTCTTGAGACTTCTGTTTGAGGCAGAAGGGAAATGCACCTATGACTAAGGACATGTCAGGCCCGTGGCTTGTAGAAAAAAGGAAAAGGGTAGTATAGAAAAAATTCCCTTCAAAAGTTTTCATCCAGGTCCTCCCTGCAAATAAGGGATTCAAACTTGTAGAGAATGTCTGGTCCTGGCTGGTCCTTGCCTGAACTCTGTTATTACAGGAGCTCATTGGTCAGCTTTAATTACTGGGGTAAGGAGAATTTTTCAGTAGGCTGACCCTTGCCTACCTCTGTGTCAGTAAGATGTATTTGTAGCTGTTGTGCTTTTAACTCGGGGTCTGCATGTAAGTCACGTAACCCACTTATGATTTGTTTGATTTTGCTGTGAAACCATAATACAAGCCCGTTACCAGCATTTGATTTTTCTGTTCACTTTTGGGTGATCCCCAGCTATCTCAGTATTAACTAGAGTATTTAAACCTTTAGGTTTCAAACAGTTGGCAAAATGCAATTCTAGTTAAACTGACACTTAAATTGTCCTTTTGGTGGATAAAGGAGAGGCTGTTTAGTTGATTTTTGGATTGTAGAGACAAACTTGGTTGTTCTGGTAGCTTACTTGCTATCGGTATGACAAGATTTTTCTTGGCTCATCTTATATTTTGCCTCAGACTTAAAATGAGACATTTTTTTCTCCAAGAAGCCTGTTTTTCTTTTTAAGTTGGAAATGTTATTTCAAGACCGTAAGCTAGGAAATTAGGATTCTCTCCCTCACTCTTTCTGTGTGTACATATATATTTGTATGTTTATGAATAAAAGATGAAATATATTTGTATAACTATTATATACATACAGTATTGATGTGTGTTGGAGACCAGAGGAGAATTAAGGCCTAATTGGCCTCCTCTGTGAGCACAGAGGAAAAAGGCTGCACACAGGGGTGGATGCATATTAGGGAAAAGTTGAGACAGCTGAGGTTAAGTTGCTTACCAGAGTATGTATTAATGGATACTGTTGGAAAGCAGGTGACTCTTGTGTCACTTTGATTGCTTATGCCGGTGTTTGGTCGAACAAAGGCAAGTGAGCCCGCAGCTGGGCGTTCCTCTGCCTACATACTAGAGACGAGAGCCCCCTGGCCGCCTGCTTGTTAAACTGATGCCATGTCTCTTTGACATTCATTCTTCTTGACCCCCTGGGCCAACAAGAACAGAGAAGAAAGTAGTGGGTCTAGGTCCCGGTTCTGGAGCAAGACCTGCTGGTTGGGCTTGGCTGCAGGTGGTGCCCAGACAGGGACTCGAAACTAGGGAAAAGCTGCGACTAGGGATCTGAGACCAGGGTATATATGACAATATTTTTAATTTTTTTTTTTCAGTACCGGGGATTGAACTGAGGACCTTGTGCTTGTGAGGCAGGTGCAGTGCCACTGAGCTAAATCCCTGGCCCATGACAGTATTTTTAGAGATTAAAATATATTTGTACATTTAAAGTTAAAACATGAAAACATAGTGATACTTTGGATTGAAAGTTAGGATAGCAAGATTTTTAGTTAATCTTCTCTCCTTTAATACTCAGTCTTGGTTGTCAGGTATATGGGATGATAGAGTTTGACTGTCCCATAATTATCCTGTATTAAACACACAACAGTCTCAGAATAATAGTGCTGATAATACTACACCAATATGATTATTGAAAGCAGGTAAAACTTTGATTGCGTGTTTTCTCCTGTCCATGCACCATAACCCCCCTCCCCCAGCTTTTAACTATTTTTTTTCAACAGCCCAGGTATTGCGTTTGATCTGGAGAATTCATCTTTCAGATTAATTTTCTGTATCTGGGTATGCTTGCTCCTCTGTTTTAGAGTACCTGAGTTATCCAGTGTCTCCTTTGAGCTTCTCCAACGGACCTCCTTCTCTAACCCTCCGTACTGAAATCCTTTCTTTTCCTACTAATATCTTTTTTTTTTCTTTTTTTATTAAGTTTATTTATTGGTGCATTTTACATATACAGTACACTTGCGTTCATCATTGGGATCTTGTACCTGTACATGATGTATCTTGGTTCTTATTTTTTCCCCATTTCGGGCCCTCCGTTCACCCCCTCCACCCTTGCCTATTTACAAAGACTTTGTTTCCATTTTTTTCCTTTTCTCCCATTTTTTCTTTTCCCTTCTTTCCTTTTCCTTATCCCTCCTATTTCCCCTATTCCTTTAGACTTTTTCTTCCTATATATTAGGATTGAAAGTCCCATTTGTTTGTTTGTGTGGTTTTTTGTTTGGTACCAGGGATCGAACTCAGGGATCGCCTGCGAGGCAGACGTTGCAACCACTGAGTTAGATCCCCGGCCCTGGAAGTCCCATTTGACCCAGCAATTCCTCTGCTGGGGATCTTCCCAAAAGAATTAGAAGAATCATACCACAGTGATATATGTGCACCCATGTTTATAGCGGCACAGTTTGTAATAGCTAAAGCTTGGAAACAACCCAAATGCCCATCAACTGGAGACTGGATAAAGAAGGTGTGGGTTTTTTTATAAAATGGAGTACTACTCAGCCATTGTATCTTAACTGTAAAAGTGTATTCGCTTGCAAGTGGGGGTGAGGAAAACATAAACATCATAGAATCTCAGTTAAAAGAAACAATTAGCTCTTGATTTTTTGAAGGTTGATTCATATATTCAAGGAGGTGTTGAGAATCTGTATTTGAGATAACTTGGAGAGAGCAGATTGGGATGATGGGGATGAGAAACACAGAAGGAATTAAACTCTGAGACAGAGCCTACGATACTTTCAAGCAGAAAAAGTGAGGGATAAAGAACAGAGATTCCAGAAGGCATCTTTACCTCTCCACCATGTGACGCCGTCTTGAACAGGAGCTGCTAAGGGAGCACTAACT